ATTTTTTTTTTTAGGTGCAATATTCTGATGAATGGTATATCTTTTAGAAAGATTTTAGACTTAACGAAAAGGGGACATCGGAAGAAGCTGGCAAAGTTGCATGTTCATAATGGAAAGAAAGAACTCTTTACTTTATCTCTGTTGATTGAAGCTCTCCTGAGGCTACCATTTTTCCAGGTCGCGATCCCACGGGGTTGAGCTAACCCTAAAAACCTGTCCTCTGTTCGGATTAGAGACTGCGACTCGTCTGCATGAAGTCGGAATCGCTAGTAATCGTCGGTCAGCCATACGACAGTGAATTCGTTCCCGGGGCCTTGTACACACCGCCCGTCACACTATGGGAGCTGGCCATGCCCGAAGTCGTTACCTTAACCGCAAGGAGGGGGATGCCAAAGGCCTCCAGTCACTTGATGGACGTTGCACGTGATACGACCAATTCAACGTATCCTAATAAAAGACATATTTAAAGGGCAACTCGGTGCACAAGGCATATCGTAGATCCTGGGAAGGGCTGCACCCCAAGGGGCGTGATGTAGACAGCCTATCCTAATGCAAGCATTAGTGGCTGCTTCCACAGTTCGAACTCGTGATCTATAAATCATACGGAAATAATTTTATCGTTGCTCTAAGACTCCCCTGCAAAAAAAAAAAAAAGTCATAACTGATTTTGGTAATTGTTACTACTCTTTAAGAGCATATTACATCTTCCCCAACTAACCTTAGCTGTGTTTGTTTGACACTTGAAAACCTCTGATCAAATGCATATTATAATACAAGCAAAGGACAAAAAACAAAGTGACTAAATGTGTTGTTGTCTTGTGAAAAGTCACATGATCATGTTCTTTATATAGTCTTGAAACTTAAGAAGATTTCTTTGAATCAAAGATCAGATCTACTAAATATTAGTCAAATTAGCTCTCACATGTTTTGCTGCTTTCCAACTCCTATCCTATTATAAAACAAAGTAAAGAGGAAAAAAAAAAAAAGTATTTCCCTCTCTTCTAAGTCAAGTTTCTGAATATTAACAAAAAGGTTACTAATTATAGTCTAGAGCTTTCTTCACAATTAGTGGCGGATGTAGCAAATAATCAACCGGTTTAACTGAACTCAATATTTTTGACATAAAATATAGTTTAGAAATTGTTTCACAAGTAGTGGCAGATGAGCAAGAGGTATTGTCACTTTTAGCCCGTGCCAGAAACTATTTACATCTGGTAGCCAAAAAAGTGTATAAAATTTGTATAATTTTGTATATAACAGACATAATGTATATATATACAGAAAATATACAAATTTTATATATTTTTTCGGCTATTATTTTTACGGCGGCTATACAATGTCATTATTTCAATGATCAACAGGTTTAACTGAACTCAATATTTTTGACGCCTTTGTTCTGAAGGCCTAGCGAGTTCCTTTTTTTTTCCAAAGGCGATCGTGTTCTTTCCTCGAATCGATAACTCGCTTGTTCAGTACTGCTAACTATTATAGGAGGATGCCGCCCCCTCGGGACTACCAGTAGCTTCGGTTGTTGGATCTCGTGCAAATTAGGTTGTGATAGTATTGGCTGCAAGCCATATAATATAATTATATTTATAAAAAATATTAAAATTTAAACTCATAATTACAAAATTGTAATGAATTCGCTGGAAAAAATACTTAAAAATTAAACTCATGGAATTTAAATTATGAATCCGTCTTTTTTTCGCAATTATGATCTGTCCAAAGTGTGGAGGCAACTTTTGACTTATAAAACTATGACTACCCTTTAAATATTACTTACATTTTCTTATATTTTTATCCATTGACACATGTTTTGTCAGACTTAATCACAAGGCATAGCTTGATTTTCAAGTATGGATTTCCAATTCCATTCTTATAAACCTAAGTTTTTCTTGTAAACTAAATATACTTATCTCCATTTTTCATCTGAATTTTCTTTGCTCTTTCCTTCTTTGAAACTAAAGTTCCTCCAATGGAAAACAGTTATAGAACATTATTTCTTCTTATTTTAGCCTTATTTTTCTCTCATTTATTCATGGTTTCTGCTAGGCCATTTTCACATCAATATTCAAGAAGATTAATGGTTTCTTTTACTTCAATTTCTACTAATATTGGCAAAGTAAATGGAGCAATTGTAGAGCATGAGAAAGCTGTGGAAAATGGTTTAAGGAAAAGGCCTCGAAGTTCTTCAAATCCTATTGGAAATAAAGTACATCAATGACATTCCCCCCTCTCTCTCTCTCTCTTTTCATTTTTTTTAATTTTTTTTTAATTTTTTTAATTTTTTTTAACAATTTAGGATACAAAGAAGAAAGAGCATTTAAGATTTTTTCTCTTTCTGAAATTTTTGTAGTTTTCCTCTTTTACTAGAAGGGGAGTCTGGACGTAACTGGTAAAGTTACTGGCATGTGACCAGGAGGTCACGAGTTCGAGCCGTGGAAACAGCCTTTTGCAGAAATGCAGGGTAAGGCTGCGTACAATAGATCCTTGTGGTCCGACTCTTCCCCGGACCCTGCGCATAGCGGTTGTGCATCAGGCTACCCTTTTTTTTCTTCTTTTACTAGCTAGGAAGGATAACATTGGGTGGTAGTGTTGATATATTTATTTATTGAATTTAGCTTATATATAGTGATGGTGTAATATTTTTTTACATTATCAGTGTAATTTAACATGTTGTAGAAATTTGTCTGTCTTATCTATCGGAACTAATTTTACTTATTATGTTAAAATTATTTGTATTTATTTTTAGGTGATCTGTGTATGGAAGTTAAACTCTTCAGATATCGTAAGTTGCTATGCTTGTGTGAATGTTCTTAATAGTTTGTTAATTTTTTTAAATGTACTTCGATTCAGAAAATTGAAAATTGTGGATCAACTTATTATAATGTAGGAATTACTAGATTGATTTTCCTTCTATTGTATCATATTGATGAATTTGTTTCCAACTATATATGACCAAACTTTTGTTTGTTATAAAAAATTATTTTCGTAAAACGAAATAGAATTTTGGAAAAGAAAACATCCTAAATATATTTTATTGTTATTTTTGTGGGGATTTCTAGTACAACTTTGTAAAAGAAGAGTCAGAAGAAAAAAAAGGTATTAAAATGTGATTCCATGTGCTAATGTTAGATGAGCATTGTGTGCATAAATAATCAGAGACAAACTGAGAAGTAATAAAAACTAATAGAATTATCAACCGATACGGTAGAATTGATGAGATTCCTCTTTTTAATTAGAAATTTCGAGTTCGAAATATTAAAAATAACAAAATTCTTGATAAATAATGTATTTTTCTTTTATGGGCCCTTAACCAGCACGAATCTAAATTAATTGAGCTAGTGTTTGCCTGTTTAGAAACCAAATGGTCATTAAAAAATAAAAAAACAATAGGGAACAATGAAAAGAACATGAAAATATTATGCACATGTGAATGAGTCAGATTGAAAATAACATTTAGGATGCAAACGTTCTGCCATAATCTCAGTTATTGCTTCCTAAGATATTTGCCTCTCTTTCTTTACGGCTAAATTGAATTCTTGATCTCTGTGTTTATATTTTTTTCTTCTTCTATTTATATTCATTTCACCTAATATCAAATTAAATTTGACAATCTTCAAATATTGTCAGAGGCGGATCCAAAATTTAAATTCTATAGATTCAACTTTTAAGGTTTTTAGCATTGAACCCATTATATTTTTAAATTTTTGAGTTCATAGCTACTATTTATTGCAATTTTAATGAATTTTTATACATAGATTTATGCTCCACGTCGAAAGTACTGGATTCAGATGAACCCAATACTAAAGGGCTGGATCCGCCCCTGAATATTGTTCCAGCCCACCTCTCTAATTGTTATACCCCATGTTTTCGTACATAAAAGTACGTCGTAAGTCAGTTGATGTATGCTCGGAAATTAGAACATCTTTGAGAGTACATAAAGTAAGTTAATCATGTTACCTTGGAGGTTACAAATATTTAAGATCATGAACTGCAAGTACCAAGTGGGTCGGAAGGTTTAGAAGCTAAACAAATCAAAGAAAATATGTTTCGTCGAAACGACAAGTTGGGAATGTTATAACTCGTACTTTTGGGGTGATACTATGGTGATTAACATGCTATGGAGGTGAAATTATTAGGTATTTTAGTCGTATTATAGTCGTGTGTTAAGATTTAAAGTCAAACGAGTTAGAAAACAAAAGACGAAAGTTGTCGCAAGTTACGTTCATAATTTTACTTAAACTTTAGGTCTAATATTACTGAGCTTTTCTCTCAATCTAATCGGAATTACGAGGTGATCCACCAACCAAATTGATGATCTACGAGTCTAGTATCCAACGCATTAAACCGTTTGTCTATACAACATCGGAGTGGAGAGATATTCGGGTTTTTGAGAGACTGCACAAGCAACTCCCTTTGGAACCCACAAGGTCAGTTGAGAATTATCTTGATATATTAAGTTGTAGCCTTAGTCACTAAGGATCATTTTGACCCAAATCAGACCTAATAGGTCTATCTAGACATTCTAAATACATCCTTTAGGGTTTTGAAGTAATTCCATCATCCGCAACTCAAAATCAAGACGCGAACACATCAACACAATCCTTACGACATAGGTAAGATTTTTCCATCCCCCTTTCTCCTTATAACTCGTGTTTTGGAAAGAGCTTCATGGCTAAGGAAATTTTTCACCTCTGTATTTTGGTTATACAAGCATAAGTAAGGATGTGGATCAAAGGGAACAAGGTCTGGAAGTAAGAATACAAGAGGTATGTAGGGTTTTCATTTCGTTTTCAGCATGATTTGATTTAGCTGTGTTCTAGCCTTTCTTCTTGATCTTTTAAGGGTTGTTAAAGAGAAATATCAGCATGCATTGTATCCTTGTATATTATTCAATTCCATGTGAATTATGAAAGAAAATAGTTTAGGTTGGAACTTCAAAACACAACAAAAATAAAAGGAGAAAATCGCCAATTTGGCTTATGCCATCCGGACTTCCGCGTGTTCCGTTCCTATGATGTTTTTATGTATACCTAACTCCCATATGATCCTAATAGTTTCATTTAAGATTATATAAGATTAATTGTCATTTGTTGATACTTAGATTATTCCTAAATTATATTTAGACTTTCATGTCACAAGTTAGCCAATATGAGTCGACATTACATTCACATTTCCGTTTTGTCGATCGTTTGACACTATTGTGTATAACTGGATCTCCTTTAGTATGATGTTATCATCTTGGCCTGATATCCATTCCCGTATATGTTGTGGTGCTTACTGTTATTTTTTGGGATCATCCAGTTTTAGGGGAAACTCTGCCGAAATTTTTGGAAATTCGAAGAGTTAGACAAATCTTGAGTTCCTTGGTTCTAAATTGATTATAGAGGGATACTAATGAGTTAATTAACCTTATTATCTGATGTACGTACTCATTTTCTCCCTAAAATGGTGATAGGCTGTTCCGTCCAACTTGTGAACGACGAGCGTCAGATTACGTTTGTGATTACGTTTATGGTTTCCTTCATGATCTCTTGAGTCCATATGATGTTGCCACATGTGTTATGCCTCATACATGCTTACAGTGATTATGCTGGGGGGGATATAGCCCATAACACCAGTGAGGCCTATTGATGATATGCTAGGGGAGATAGCCCATAGTACCAACGGGGCCTATTGATTATATGCTGGGAGGAGATAGACCATAACACCAGCTGAGCCTATTGATTATATATTTACCTGCTGGTCGGATATAGCCCATAACACCAGTCAGGCATGTCATGTACGCGTATACAATTACAGTTTACATAGCATGACTATACATGAGGCTAGTTCAGTTTTACAGTTACCTGATTAGGGGGATATAACCCGTAACACAAGACGGGTACCAATTCAGATAGTTGTTCAGTTTCAGCATAGTTTCAGCTTAAACTTCGGTTAAGTTCCAAATCAGTTTCTAGTTCAGACTCTTGTTTAGCTTTTAGCTTATATTCAGATTTCCATCTTACAGTCATACTTTAGTATGCTTTTGATCACGCCCAACTATGCCTTATAAAAAGGACACGCGGACGTTGCAAATATAATCTGAGTATTTAGTCCAGAGTCGAACCCACAAGGAATTAACCTATCAATTACTTTCGTTAGACTTACTAAATTCCACGAAATCAACTTCCCAAACGTTGTGAATAACAATTGAATATGTTTCTACTAACTTGTCACGAACCGGATTTCCCACCATCGGGGGTCGTGATGGCGCCTACTATCGGAGCTAGGCAAGCCAAGCATTCAAAACATTCTCTGATAACACCTCAACAATATAAATAAAACGAGTCATTTAAATAAAAGCGGAAGTCTTAAAAGCATAGATAACTGAAAAACCAAAAATGCGGAAGTTTAACATTTCTCTACCCAAGACTGGTGTCGCTAACTCATGAACTACTAAAGAGTGCTAAAAACAAGTCAGAATAGAAGTACATCAATGTTTGTCTTGGTACAAGGAAAACAAACTAATAATATAGAAGGGACTCCGGCCTGCGAACGTCAGCTAGGATACCTCGAAAGTCCCTGGACTGAAGTCAGCTCCCGATCAAATCCTACTGCCGAGGTCCAAAAGCTGCTCCTGGATCTGTGCAAAAAGATGCACAGAGTGTAGCATCAGCACAACCGACCCCATGTGCTGGTAAGTGCCTAGCGTAACCCCGGCGAAGTAGTGACGAGGCTAGACCAGACTACCAGATAAACATGTGCAGTTATGAAATATATTGCGGAAAATAAACAGGAAATAAACAGTTATAAAAGGAGGGGGAAACATGCTATGGGGAGGCAACAGTTAAAAACAGGAAGTCTAAACTTAAAGGATAGAATAGCCAACAGAAACTTAAATCCGGAATAAACACAATTAAGCTATAGTTTTGTTGCGGCGCGCAACCCGATCCGTTCACATACAATACTGTTGCGGCGTGCAACCCAAACCACAAATATACAGTATTGTTGCGGCGTGCAACCCGATCTTCAATTATATAGTGTTGTTGCGGCGTGCAACCCGATCCACAATTACATAGTGTTGTTGCGGCGTGCAACCCGATCCACAATTACATAGTGTTGTTGCGGCGTGCAAACCGATCCACAATTATATAAATAACCAAACCTCACCCAATCAACAATCACAAGTAAGAGCTAGGGGGGGGGGGGGAACAACTGGTGACAGCAACCCCGGCAAGGGGAATATAACAACGCAACTAAATCCCGGCAAGGGAGAAAATCAACAAAACCAATAACACGTCCCGGCAAGGGAGTAATCATCAACTCTTTCACTTTCTTACACTTTTCACTGAATTTCACTTTAACATTCGAGCCATCGCTCCAAGAGTCATTTCAAAATCTCTGTCTCATGCTCTTTACAGTATACAGAAATTATCGAACAAGCATGGAAGAAATCACTACGATTCAGGATAATCTCAATATAAGGACACACGGTCATGCTAGACACCAGCGTATGTATACTCGTCACCATGCCTATACACCGTACTCAACACATAGCAAATAGCAAATAAGACCCTACTCCTATTCTCTCAAGCCAAAGTTAGACCAAACATTTACCTCGAATGCTCCAAAAATTGACTCAAGCCTCTAGTGTAGCTTTACCCCTCGAATTCGGCTCCAACTCAGTCAAATCTATGAAATAATGACTTTACAATATTAATAATAGCTAAACAA